TTTTTTACCCTGTTTTCCCCGCGCCATGAACTAAAGCCATCTCCACAACCATGTCAGGCAAGCGTCTGCTCGACGCCATCCAGTTCCTTAATGTGTCCAAAACGGTCGCAGCCAAACACCTGGCCATCCGACAACGCCAGCTAGATGTCTACACGCGCACATCCTCCCTGACCAAAGGCATCAAGGCCCAAACAGAGGGCCTGATCCTAACCGCTCAAGCCGCCGCAGCGTTGGCACGCCGATTTGACGAACCCTCGCCACCACCTTCGCCGAGCCCGGTAGACTTCCCCGACAAGTCAACATCGGCCGATAAGCCGCCCGCTAGCACTGCAACGTCGCCACCCCCCGCCCTCGCCCGCAAACTGCAACGTCAGGCCGAATCGCAGATCCCGGCTTCGACGGCAACATATAGCGGCGATGAGAAACCGAGCGCTTTGGATGTGGGCAAGCAGCAGGATGTCTTCTATGAGCCATCGCTTCGGTCGGAGCCGGATCTCTCGAGCCTGCCGAGAGTGAAGGTGCCCAAAGTCACGGGCGATGCTCAAGTTGGTAGCGATGGGTTGAATGGGGATATCTTCCACTCGTCTGTTGAAGCGAGTAAACCTGCTCCGGTTGAGCAGGAGATGTCCGAAGAGATGATACAAGGTCTTTTCCACAGCCCGAGAGTATCGCGCATGATCTCCAGACAGCCACCACCAAAAAGGGATTGGAAGCTTGCCGCGAAGCCTCGGCAGTCGGTCGCTGATGTTGATAAACCCGTCACCCCGGTGACTCCGAAAGCTGAGGCTCAGGAGATGGAGGAGCTTGCGGCCAGCGTCGCCGAAGACGTGGTGCCCAGTGTGAACACCGTCGGCGAGGTCAAGGAGCAACAAGTGTACCAGATGCTGGAGTCGCGTGTGCCGTCCTCCCGGCTGGGCAGATTGTGGCAGTACGGTGGTCTTGCGACCTCAATGGCATTTGGCGCTGTCGGGGAAGGTTTCCGGCGAGCCACTGGCAGCCAAGACAATGGCTCGATTATGTTCAGTGCTGGTAACATGGAACGAATGGTAGCCAAGCTGTCAAAAATGCGCGGTGCAGCTCTCAAGCTGGGACAGATGCTGAGCATCCAAGGTGCGTTTCATCGCCTAGCCTACTAATATATCTTAACGCCCAAGCTAATTCCTCTAGACTCCAACATGCTCCCCGAACCAATCCAGCAAGTCCTCCAACGCGTGCAAGATCGTGCTGACTACATGCCCGCCTGGCAGCGTGACAAAGTCCTCACCGATAACCTCGGGCCCAACTGGCGCGACCTGTATACCTCCTTCAACGAGATCCCTATGGCAGCAGCCTCGATTGGCCAAGTGCACTCAGCCGTCCTAAAAAGCACTGGCCAACCCGTCGCCGTAAAAATCCAATACCCAGGCGTCGCCGACTCAATCGACAGCGACCTAAATAACCTCTCCATTCTCCTAACGGCCTCCCGCCTCCTGCCAAAGGGCCTGTACCTTGACAAAACAATTGCGAACGCGCGCACCGAACTAGCTTGGGAATGCGACTACATCCGCGAAGCCGAAGGCGCCAACCGCTTCCGCGAGCTCCTAGCCAACGACCCAGTCTTCATCGTCCCGGAGATAATCGCCCACGCCTCTAGCAAACAAGTCCTAACAATGGAAATGCTCGACGGCGTAGCCGTAACCAAAGTAACCGACTTCACGCAAGCCCAACGCGACTGGATCGGCACACAAATAATGCGCCTCTGCCTCCGCGAGATTGCCGAATTCCACTACATGCAAACCGACCCGAACTGGACAAACTTCCTGTACAACGCCTCGACGAACAAACTCGAACTCCTGGACTTCGGCGCCTCCCGCGCCTACCCCGAAGAATTCATAACAACCTACGTGCGCACACTAATCGCCGCTTCCCGCAACGACCGCCAAACCTGCCACGACCTCTCCATCGAGCTGGGATACCTGACAGGGATGGAATCGCAGGCGATGGTCGACGCACACGTGAGCTCGATCACGACGATCGCCGAGCCGTTCATGCTTTCCTCGCCTGATCTGTATGACTTCAGTAACCAGACAATCACGGACCGCGTGCGCGCGCTGATTCCGGTTATGATTCGGGAACGGCTTTCGCCGCCGCCCGAGGAGACGTACTCGTTGCATCGGAAGTTGAGTGGTGCTTTCTTGCTTTGTGCCAGACTTGGTAGCTCGGTGCCTTGTAAGGCTTTGTTTATTGAGGCTATTGAGGCTGCGCGGAGGAAGGGGTTGAAGGTCGAGTAGAACACTTGTGGATGTGGCTATGTACTATTATAGACTATGTAGACTATGTATACTGTATATTATATATTGAGGAAATGATGTTTGGATTCTTTGGCCTTTCCAAGGTTCAAAGGTGGCCGGCCGCCTTGTAAAATTAAGCTCGCCCTAAGTTGTGCCAAGAGCGCCTCCCGGGGATTCCCGGATTGCCGGGCCCGATCTCGGGGGCATGGATCCACGCGCCTCAGCCAACACAAGGTGGGTTTTGTCCTTCTATGACCTCTGATGTATTAGTCTTAACTCCATAGCTTCTAAATATTCAATAATATAGAAATTACAGGATTGGTCTAGAATCTAGAAGGATGAGTTTTGCCAATTGTTTAGATACCATATATATATTGCTAAACTAGGCTCAACCTGTCGAAATGGGTGGTTGGTAATTGGAAAGTGAATAAGAATGGAATTGCACGTGGGATTTAATGGGCACAGAGGAAAGAAATTGAAGGAGAAAATGTTATATGGCTTCTAGCTTACAAATAAATGCGTGCTGCGTTGATATCGTTGTATTGATTTGGAAAGCCATGATGTAACAAAAGATCCATGGTGGATTGCGTTCCATTGCGTCTCAAGGGAGACAGCCATGGCGATGAATTTACAAGAGATAGAAAGAAGATGGAGGATTTATTCTGATCAGAAGGATATTAGATAGCGGTATAAATAGAATACAGTGAAATAAATCTTCTACTGAAGACGTTAAAAGTTCAACCCGACTTTTCCATTATATAACATGTGGTGACTGTGTTGGTCACTTATAAAGCTCTTATCCAATATGGACTTTGACTTCCGGTAGCAGGTCGCTAGTGAAATCTCCTCCAGGCAAGTCGGGGGAAATTGTTGTTTTGTGTTGTTTACGCCTTATGGACTGCAACGAGACACCTTAATACAATAAACCACCTATAAGATCACATCTAATCCTTTTGTAGCTATGATTATTATAAAGCCTTTGAGTATAGCAAGGGAGAGAGGGAGAAGACAGAGTGCATTCCAGTTTTTGCTCATGGTATGAAAGCAGCACCACTGGCCCTCACTAGCGTATTTGGATTCCCCGACGCTCTATGTGCTTCTGAGGGGACAAGAACCACATGGAGTCATGTAGGAAATTTCCGCTGCAGTAGGGTTTTGTATTGGAGATTTCGTAGAAACGAAAGGTTGTAAGAACAAAGAGCGTCTACCGAACAGTTTTTTGAGATAGCGGGTTCGAAAGCAGTCTTATATGTGGTATTCTTGTATCCAACGAGAGTGGGTGGCAGATTAGCGACTCATATCCGGTAAATCATGCTCCAGTCTGCGAAGGATTGGTAGTTTATGGATTCCGATAGGCAATCGGACCTTCTTTCTTTGACGTTTGAGTCCCATGAAAAGTCGGGAATTGGACAATGAAAGACAGTTGATATCGTCATAGGTTAATAGGTCTGATATTAATAACAAAATCTCCACGGGAAGACCATCCAATGAGTGTTGTTGTTCTTTATCGATGTAGTAGAAGATAGCTTCGCGAATAGGCTGAACGACTTGCATCACTTGGATATTGGGTACAGAGAAATAGGCAAAGATCATGGAGTGGAAGTATATGACTCAAAATAAGGTAGCTGTTATTTCCTATTTAGGAATAGTAGAAATTACTCCCGTCGTATCCACGGATAGATAGGTGTGGAGCCATGTATGAAATCCGCTCTGATAGTCTGTTGCATCTACACTTTCGAGAAAATCAATGCCAAAACTTACTAGGCTATATTAGGAATAGACCCGGAATGTCAATACAATAATACGTTGCTCTGTCTTAACTATAGTAATGCAAACAATTCAAACACCAGAGCCTAAGAGGATAGAATCTCACTCAGAATCTCACTCTCCTCTGCCACTTCCCATGTCCAAGTGAAACTCATCTAGAGACCAAATCAGTATATACCGCTCCATCTGTTCAAGTCTCTAATTTCCTTCCCTTTCTCCACCATCAGCTTAGAATCAACAACCATCATTTCTACAATGCCTGCTACAGTTGCGCAGATTCTCGCGCCTTACGAGTACAAACCGGAGCAAGTAGAGCGGGTAGCCCAACGAACGATACAACCCCCTATTACCATAGTTGAGCCCAACCCAGAATGGCCGCAACGATTCGAAGAAGTCAAAGTGCGGATCCAAAAAGCCCTCGGGGCCTTGGTCCTGGACATCGCTCATTCCGGCTCTACCGGTGTCCCTGGCCTACCAGCTAAAGACATTATCGACGTTGATCTGACAGTAAAAGACGCTACGGACGAAGCATCCTATGGGAAGCCTCTGGAAGAGGCAGGGTTTCGGTTCATCTTGCGCGAGCCGCGATGGCACCAGCACCGGTTCTTTGTGGAGAATTGGCCTGGAGCCTACCATGTCAATCTCCACGTGTGGGGTCCTGACTCGCCCGAAGCTACCCGTCATCGTATCTTTCGTGACTGGTTACTCAAAACGCCGTCGGATCTGGAACTATATGCCAAAGTGAAACGCGAAGCAGCGGAGCAAACGGCTATAGCTGGAGACTCGATGATGGACTATACCCTGCGGAAAGACGAAGCGATCCATGGGATTCTAGAACGAGCATTCCGTGATTTGGGCTATATTGAATGAGACAATTAAGAGGTGATTTGAAAGTGCGGATTACCACAAGTGATGTTGACTCGTATACTTTTCGAAAGTGGAAAGTGGAAAGCGGGAATGGCTTTAACTAGATACATGAAATGCAGATGAAAGGAAGTAGAAGTCAATGGGGGAGCACTGTCTTCGAACCATTTTTAGAATAGTACTATCTCCTTGCCCTATAGTATTGCTGCTCCTGAATGGGAATAATAATCTTCCTTATGTCAGAGTTTATTGCTGCGACGAGGCAGCTCTGACCGCAGCTCTGGTGAGGGGATATAGCCGGAATGCAAGATGTGAGTGCATTAGTTTAGGGCTGTCTCGCCATTGCCTTGCACGAGGTAGCAAAGGCAAACAAAGCCAGAAATCCGAAGGAAGGTAGTGTTTTTGGCTCCGGCGAAAGATGCATATAAAAATTAAGAATTGTAGTATAGCGGGGTATACTTCAATTCGTCATGCCACATTCTGCACTGGCAGCTGAAAGGTACAATCAATCCCCCCAAAGACAACCGTCCAGTACTCCTTCATCGCATCACAAATCCCCTCATACTTAACCCAACTCTGGAATTTATCCTCAAGCTCACAAGCCGTCCATCGAATCTCTTCCCAAAACCCCTTCTCAACATCAACTCTGCTATTAAACCCGCGTACAACATCCACCGGCAACGTCCAGGCCCGCGTATAATCACCATCATCCGTAAACGCAGGATTAACCTCATGGAGCTCGAAGATCGTAGCAGGATTGAACTTGGGGAAGTTGGCGTGGATGAAGAAAACTCCTGGCGTGGGTGCGTGATCGCCTCTGACACGCCATATCCCACGACTAGTCAGTGCAAAGTCCTGTACGGGATCGAACTGCGCCATTGCGGATCCGGCTATACCGCCGCGGGTTTCGTGGCCGAGGGCGCAGATAGGCTCGCTGACTTGGTGGAAAGATTCGCGTATGGCGGTTGCAGCTGCGATGAAGGTCTCCTTGTCACCTTCGCCGGCGGCCCCTTGTGAAAGGAGGGGATAGTAGTGGGAGGGGCCGTGGTAATTGTAGTAAGTTGTTAAGAGGAGGGAGCGGAGATGTGACTTTTTGGAGAGGAGGACTTCGCCTGATTCTGTTGATTGGCGTAGGTCCATTGGCGGGGGTGGGTAATTTGCGATTTCGTAGAAGAGTGGGGAGATAGAGGAGGCCCAAAAGTCGGGCCAGGTGACCATTCCCTGTGAGAGGAAGGGCTCAGCCGTGAATAGATGTTCTGGTTTCTCGAGGGGGAAGGCGTCTGCGTCTAGGAAGAGGATCTCCTCGAAGGATGAGAAGAGCATTGCGAAAGGCTTGAATTGGTATTTCTGGATTCGGGCTGGAGCGGAGATGAGAATTCGAGATAGAACTATGCATCGTGCGTTCAGAGATGGTAGGACTATATCGCATATGTAGCCTTCGTACTCTTCTTCATCGGAGAGGAATACTTCCATCGGGAGTGTGGAGCCGGTTCGGCGGAGCATGCGGAGGGATATCACTAGCACTGGGAGGTAGGTGCCCCCTGCTGTTGATACTACGCCCTTTGTGCCGGGGAGGTAGGGGAGCTCGGGTGAGGAGTCGGTGATTACATTAACAAATCCGGCATGCGCTTCTTTGATGGTGATAACGTCTTCCTCCGGAACGTCAAAGATATCTGGGCGCGGTGGGGGATTGTGGGCATTGAAGCCTTCTGTGGATGCCTTCTCATATTCAACGATAGGGTCTGTGTCCGGCGCATATTTCGCTAGCAGTGCGTGGAATTCCCGCCAGAATTTGCGATGTGAGGGTGTCAGGTCTGTGGTGATGGCCTGAGAAGAAAGATTGGGGATGTAGGCTTTGAACTGGCCCAATATTGCCCAGGTAAGGAATGCAGCGAGTGTCAGGGCTGCCAACAGCGTTCGTACGCGCAGAAAGGATCGCGGGATCATCGTGAAATGTCTCGGAGGTTACTGTTTACCCCACAGAAGCTTGATCGGATAATATCGATTATCGTACCAATGACGTCGATGGGCAGGTACCCGGGGACCCGTACTGTGAATGATTGAGCTATTGCAAGTCATATATAAGCAAAGACAATGTCAATAAAAGCCTGATATTTTCAGAATGTAAGCTTGGATGTTGCCTAAAACCAGACATCTGAGAAAAGAAATGAGAACTCAATCAATAGTCCATCGAACAGCGGCTGTATACTATATTGCCCAGCATATCAACTTCAAATCTGATACGTGAAAGTCGGGAATCCCTGTGCTGGCCCATGCCTAATCTCCTCCCTCAAAGTCTTCAGCTCTTTATCCTTCTCCGCACTTTCCGCTTTCAGCTCCTCATTGTTACGAGTAAGGTATTCAACCCTCTTGAATGCTAGTGCAATGGTGGACAGCTTCCTCGCAAGCTTATGCGACAGATCAACCACAAACTCTCCTCCTTCTGTAATAAGTTCGTCCAAATCCTCACCAACCAATGTGGTGTACCGCAGCGCCACAAACTGGGATAGCAAGTTCCTTGCATCGTCAACTGCACTGGTCGTTTTATAGATGAGTCTGATTGCATCCACCAAGTAAGGGAATAGGACCTTGTCTGTTTGCTCCATGGAAACAAGGACCTGGGCTAGACTGTTCAGGGCGAATTGCTCCAATTTGTCAAATTCGAGTTGACGTGCGAAGGAATATACTTTTGCGTGGAGATAAATCTCGGCGGCGTTGTTTCCTTCGGTTTCTTGTTCTGGCTCTTCTTGTTCTTGGCCTTGCCTTTCGTGGTCAGTGACCTTTTGTGAGGCCTGCTCCGTGGCCAAAGTGACCCCATCGCAATATTCCAGCGGAGTGAGGGGTCGGTCATTTAGGTCCAGCTCTGATAGAGCCTCGGATGGTGGCGAGTCTGGGGCTATGGAGGACTCTGCAACTGGTGACAGTGACCTTGCACGGGCAGGAAGCATTGGAGATGGTGAGTGTGGCCATGAAGGCTGTGACTGTGGGCTGTCAGGTGGTGATGTTGGTTCTGCATTGGTTGATTCGGTATTAGGTTCTCGTTTGTTTTTGATAATGATTGATATAAGATGGGAGTTTATTACCGTTTTCTTCATCCGCTTCCTCGGCTTCATCTACCACGACTTCTTGTTCTTCTTGTTCTTGACCTTCTTCCCCGTCTTGCGCTGGGGCCTCTTCCCCCGCATCTGCCTCATCTTCTGCGGCTGCCACGGAGGTTGCTTGGGGTGCCTGATAACCTGCGGTATAAAGGAAGCTCAATACGCAATCAATTGTTTGCTCATCAAAACCGCTCCAATCAATCGCCTCCTCGTACTCGTCAGTTGACGCCTTCAACTGGAGATCGAATGCGGTGTGGACCTCGAGGGTTCCACGGTGGACATAGTAAACGCGTTCATCACTGCCAACGACGATCTTGACTGGGGGCTTTGCGAAGATCGACCTGTTTGGGGGTTAGCAAGAGTCGGCGAGGTGATGAATACACCGTGATCTTGTATGCATATACCTAGAAGGTGTCTTCGAGTCGGACGACATGGTGGAAAATAGTAAACCGGCAAAGGATAAATACACAAAACCGAAAGCAGACCCTAGAGAATGTTCACAAGATCAGGATGTAATGTTATGATGTTTAAGTAGGAACTCCCAGAGACCACCCCTCATGATAAAACGAGCCAAGTACTTGGCGAGGAGGTGCTTTTGACAATGCAGAGAGACCCAATCTATTTTAAAAGTAGGGCGACCTCTAGCAGGGGTATACGTGGGCTGACTAGGCTGTTGCATTTCTCTACATAGTACGTACATAGTCAACCGACATATATACATCACATCTCGATTAATCTAGCCAAGGCTTTACTAATTACGAAATATCCAAGTACCTACTAATAATGCTTCTCTCCAGCTGTCGGCGAGCCCAACATAATATTCGAGACTAGGTAATGTCTTTGTCTTGATATAGGCAGGGTAAAACAAGAACTTGTTTTGCACTTACCTTTGTATTCATTCGGTCTAGCCTGACAAATTGCATGATCGTGTCTAAGGCCTTGTTCATAGCAATTAGTGTGCAATGGAGGAAATACATATATGCCCCTTTATGTACCGGACTTTAGGCCGCGGCCGCGACTTGGCCTATCCACTTTAGCCCGGGAGCCCCGGGGGGAGGGTCGGGTTCTTACTTTGCTTAATAAGCAATCAGATGACATGTTGGGTTGTATATTTCACACTTTCATCGAGACATAGAAAGATAGAAGTCGACAGATCTTAGCTTCCCTAAACCAATCTGTGTCTGAGTATAGAAAGTGCAATACCAGATCCACCAATTTACACTCTTTTGTCCTTTCTGAGCCCCACTGCCAAGGCGCTAGCTTGAGGAATGGGTGCGTCTAAATGGACCTACATACTAACAAATAACGAAGGAAAAGGTTATAGATGAAGATTGATCTCTTGCAATATATATATATGTATATACCTTTTATAAATTTGACCGTAAACATCTAGATCTTTAATTCTGCGCTAGGATATGCTGTCCAGTTTGAATGCCTATGTCAAGTGGCTCATCGCTGGAGCTGACTGCCAATCTAGTCTTGATTGTAGACACCGAAGGGGGAACTGCATGTTGCCGCGATGCGATCCCCCATGGCCCGTAAGGAAGCTCAAAAACTCTAGAATCTTCTAATATGAATTTCAAATTGATATCACGGAACACGGTCCATGAGTTTACCTCGTTGCCCGTGCCAAGATTATCAACCACGGAGGACGGAGCCATTCGAACCGCCCGCGCCGCGATTATGTCATATTTCAGAAAACGACAGCCCTAAGTATTTAAGCAGCAAAGATAACGACCTGGGAAATTCTATTAACTATCAAGCAAAAAGAAACTTCATTTGAGAATTCATTCTTCGAAACTCCTACCAAAATGGCTCCCATCCACGTTGGCGCTCTGCTCTTCGATTACCAGACAATCGACGTGATCGGACCATACGATCTACTCAATTCCGCGAGCAAGACGCTCATGGAGGGAATCAGTCGATACACGCACGTGGATCCGAAAGTTATAGCAAAGGCGCCCGAATTTGTCTTCCACCATATCGGCGAGACCCTAGAGCCAGTACGCCTGCTTACAAGCTTTGTAACAATGGTTCCCACAGACGCTGCAGATGACGTCCCGGAGTTGGATATCCTCATCGTGGGTGGGGATAGTCCTGCGAGAAGCAGTCTCCCTCCGAAGTTGCAGGACCTTATTCGTCGCCATGCTGCCTCTGGAAAGCTACTGTTTACGACCTGCACCGGCGCTGCAGTTGTTGCTGCCACCGGCGTTCTGGATGGTAGGAGGGCTACAGTCAATAACCTCGAGTACAATTGGACTAAAGAGAAATACCCGAATGTCAAGTGGACGAAGGAGAAGAAGTGGATTATTGATGACAATATTTGGACTGGGAGTGGAGCTGTGGCGGGGATGGATATGGTTGCCCACTGGATCAAAGAGAATTTTGGACTGGATGTTCTTATTCAGGCGGGATTATCGCTTGATTATGAACCGCGGGATGTTGATGGACTTTTCAATGTGCTGCCTCAGCGATACGATTCGACTGGGAACAAGATCTCCACCCATGTCTTTCCCGATGAGATCTGAAATGTTGCTATGCTGAAGCTGCAGTTTGGCAGGCTTGAGGGCTGGGGCATGGATAACTTGTCAAGTCTCTGCAGATGATGAACCCGTCATGCTAGAAAATGTGTCCATAAACAGAAGATCACCCCAAAGCTTCTCATCTTCTATTTTCTGGACTTCCGTAGAAATGGCGTTTTGTAGTGTGGGCTGATCCGGAGCCTGGGCGACGTGGCGGTTCGAATACCGCAACGCAGGGCAGCGGTGCGGCCTTCGAGTAGATGAGGCTATGGGTTTTGAAGCCCCAAGCTCGTGATGCGCACGGTTACTATCACGAACCTGGGCGAAATTCTCTTTTGCTAATGCATAGGAATCTTTCACACTTCCTAGGATCTCAGGCAGCATTGAAAAGAGACTCTTGGTGGGTATTTGCCTGTCTGGCGATGGCTTGATAGACTGTAGGTTAGACAACAATGTGTCAAGGTATTCCTGTAGATCCACAGATTGATGTGCGATCTCCCTGTCCCATTCAGGTACTTCTGGCAGTCCCACAGACAGCCTGTACAGCACAAATACCGCCAAAATGACCTGATACCACGCGGAAATTGGCAAGCTAGTATGCTCCGCAGCGGGAATGGCGAAGAACAAATCAAGATAACCCTTGGTAGAACTGACGCATTTGACTAAGTTGCTGATGACTATCGGAGATGTAGATGATATGGTGAAACCTTGCTGTGCTTTTGGAGGCGGTGGCCTTCTCTGCCCGTAGCAATATACCAACCCCATTTCTTGAATCCGAATCTTGACGGCATGATAGCTGTTTATTAGCAACACTAGGAATTTCCAATCAGCTAAAGAGGAAGCCCAGAGCTTGGGAGGGCCCTACACGTGTTTTGAAGATCAGTCGATAGAGACGACCACCATTCTTCTAACCGGGTAGTGAATCGTTCAGCATGAATGTACAGCCGAGTTCCATGAATGCCTTCGGACCGGTAAGTCTCGCAGACTTCCTCTGTAAACTGTAACACTTTCGTCACTGGGTATATCATGAAGTCTGTATCGAATTCTGGCTGTTTTTGCAGCATCATAGCGCATCGAAGCATTGCCTCGTGAAATTGGAGGTTGTTGGGCTTTCCTGAAGACATTGATATTCTATCCAAGTCAGCTTAAGCCAATTGCTGCTTGTTTGGGGAATCGAATCTTACATGCTAGACATGTAATAGCAGCCCAGATAAGCCCGGCATGCTTCCCGGATATAATCATCACCCAGCTCGGTTCGCTCCTCAAGCAAGTTGGCAGCCTCTTGATCAAGGCGAAGGTCAATGACCATACTGATTGCGATTTGTAAATACTGGTATGTTTGTTGACTCCCTGGAACAAAATGGAAATGGAACCTGACATTGATGAGCTTGCCGGTACCTCCGATGCCGACGAAATAGAAGGCAGTGTGGGAACTGAGATCTTACCAGGCAAGATGGACAAGTAATCCCTGGAGCAGATCTAGATCTTTCTCGCCAGCTATAATGACCCGCTGACTGAGAGATTCTTTAAATTGTCTAATCAGAGCGTCTTGAAGATGACAGTACTTTGATGAAGCAGCAACAACAACTGCAAGCAATAGGAAGGGGCGATCTTCAGCCATCGACGCAGCATTCCAGGTGCCTGAGAGCCGCACAAATGGGAAATAGAATGCCATACCGCGGAACCTGTCTAGAAGATGCTCTAGGACGACAGGACTGAGCCCTAAGTCGGTGATCCACGCGGCGTCCATTGCAGTGGGTGCATCCCAAGACTTTTCTAGGGTATTTTCGGTAGTATCCTGATTTTCGCTGGACCCCAGACCTTCGCTCAATTCAGGACCAGCCAAGTATCCTTCGCTCATCCATTCAGTTGTTGGATGTAGACTGTCGCTGAAATATTCAGGAATTAAAGCCAGCCCATCATCCGGATTAACGGGGGGTTCGACTCCACTAATGGGTGCGCTGGAGCGCGACAGAAGACCGATGATATTGGTGAGCTTAGATTCAAGATCAACCAGTCTCCTTCATCCTCTCCCTGTCAGCAAAAGTAAACTCTTGAGTAGAGCGTTCTCCACGGTCACGTACGGTTTCGCTCGTGAGACTCGAGCTCGCTGTCTCGGCTCTGAAGTTACGCATTGAGAGTTTGATCTGGTACATCTACTCAAATTAGCTAGAGGGGAAGTGTAGGGTCCCAGATGTAACACCCACTTGGTACAAGGCTGTCCTTCCTCGGGTCGAATACATTTGACCTTGAGGACGCGGCATTTTTCGCATGCTAGTGCCACGCTCTTCGGCTGACACGATGAGTCCGTCGAGATTGCGTTATCCATCGTCACTCACATATATATTCCGTGATCTCAATGTTACAAGCTCGAAAAATGATTGCGCTAATATAGTTTGAAACACCGCCAAATCTTCCAATCTGACCTCATGCATTCCAGCTGACAAATCGGGTGAACACTAAAACAGAAAGGGAACCCCATTTCACGCGTAAAGTCCAATATGGATATACCTATCTAGGTACACCTGATAGATCTGCTTACTTTAAAGGAATGTTGAGCGGATTTTTCACCTCAAATCTACGCAATTCCACTCTTCCTGCAATTAATGAATTGCATGCTTATTCTTGCTTATTCTGGCCCAGCCACAGCCAATAAAATCACTGATGTATACACCTATGTCCAATAACGCTCTAACTTTGGACATCCAGAGCTGCCACACAAACGAAGACAATCATCAGAGCTCAACATCCGAGAATGTTTGAAAGTGCTACATGGCTTTCATGGAAAGGCGCAAGAAGTTCAACATTCGGATTCTAAACCATCTGAGACACTTATTGATGTCTTTATGCTTGTGATTTGATATGGCTTCTAATTGGATGTCTTTTCAGAAGGTGAGTATCCGTTCATGCTATTTCAACGAAAGGCCAATAGACCTAGCTATCTATCCGCTCATCTATTAATTCCCCAGGGACTACAGGTGCTACGCCCTTTCCCACCAATGGCAAAAATACCTCATCGACTATCTCTTAGGCATATATCTAAATCTAGCACACTAAACTATTTATACCATGCTTTGATTTGATTGTGGGCGAAGAAAAAGTCCGAGGCATCCGAGAGAGGATGAGGGCAATTCGGGGCTTTGGCCATTTATCCGTTAGGACTTTTGTACTTTCCTCTGGTACTTCGAGCGCTTTCCCCAGGTGGATGTATTACTATATCCCACGTGTTTGCTCGATGCGTTGTTTGCCAACCCCCTGTCACCTCCTACCCCGCCAGGGTTTTGACAACGCATCCTCTTCTATCACCTTCCCTTTAAATATTTCTCATCTGGCAGTTGAAATCCTTTCTTCTTGTCCTTTCCTTACGTTTCTTCAGTACCCAATACGGCTTGGAACCACCTGGCCTTTCTGTCACCAGCATGGATACCCACGACGTCTCCGATGTTCCGGAGTACTTGAGATATCTTCAAGTACATAAGCGAAATCTGAAGAAGGCGCAAGCCCTCAAGGGCCGTCCAGCAAAATCCCCAAAGTCCAAAGATGAGATCTTGATGCAGTTCATGTTTCGACAAATGATGAATACGAAAGCCCCCGCTAATCCGATGAATATCCGATCTTCATTTCTGCCACCTGCCTACCCCCCATGCCATACTCCTTTCAGCAAGTTGAGGAAGGTTATGATCAAAAACCTGTGTCTTGAAACTCATCATAGGGAACGGTATCTCCTCATAAGAACGGTCACTCCGGCAGATACGATGACCGCCGTGATGGCCATCGTAGAAGATGAAGATAGGAATGTTCTTATGCTGCAGCTCTACAATCAAGAGCTGGAGCTGTCGAATTCACACAGTCTCAGGGAGGGCACGGTGCTTGTTGTGAAAGAACCATATGTGAAAGTAATGGCAGACGGAGACTACGGGATTCGAGTGGACCATCTCTCGGACGTCTGGTTTGTCCCCGATTTTGACGAGCTGGTTCCCTTATCCTGGAGGGAACGTGTGACGCAGATTGATGAGAGCGCATCTTCTTGGAAGGTGAAAGCAAGTGAGCATTTCAATCAGGGTGATTATCGTTCGGCAATCCTATGGTAGGCTGCAAAATATGGCTGTGTTTGAAAGGGGATGCTGAGAATAATTTAGCTATTCAAAGACTCTGGACTCCCATCCGTCGCCAGAATTGGTGGTAATAGCGCAGCTCAACCGTGCCCTTTCCTTTTTGAAAAGCTACCGCTTTGACGCGGCGCTGAAAGATGTGGAGCATGTGCTGCAAGTATCAGAGCTATCAGAAAAAGGTCTCTTTAGGAAGGCTCAAGCCCTGTATCAACTTCAAAGGTTCAAAGAATCATGTGAAGTTCACGCAATACTTGCAGAGAAGTATCCAGATAACACCCAGGCCGCACATGAGTATTCACGAGCATCTGCTCGTCTTGTGGAGCAGGACAGTGGGAAATACGAGTTTAGGAAAATGATACTGGAGGCCAAGAAGCGTCGGCCCCCGACGCTTGACCGCGCCACCTACATTGGTCCTGTGACTATCAAGCAGACTCAATCTCATGGGAGAGGGCTCTTCACAACAGAAACGGTGAAGGCAGGCGACCTTCTGCTCTGCGAAAAGGCATTCGCTCACGCTTTCCACGACGAAGATACCTCGCAAGATCTCCGTCTGTTACTCAATGTCGACATGGACAAAGCTACGATTGGTACTCAAGCAGAGCTTATTGGATTGATTACTCAGAAGCTGTATAAAAATCCGTCCATGATCCCAGACTTTGTCGATCTTCATCATGGCACATACAAATCAGAGGATGTCCTAGAAGTGGACAGCATACCCATCGTAGATACGTATGTCACTGCGTTCCCATCTTGGTACCAAAGCTAATACCTCCAGGTTTCTGGTTGAGAGAATAATTCTCCTAAACGCTTTTGGGTGCCCACTTTCTTCTCGTGAGAGTCACATAGGCTGTATGAAAAGGGACGATGATACAGCCAATAGGCAATTCCACTCCTCTGGGGTCTGGTCAGTAGCATCATATATTAATCACTCTTGCCTGAGCAATGCTCGCCGCTCTTTTATTGGAGACATGATGATCGTTCGTGCTTCACGGGACCTGCCGCCTAACACTGAAATTACCTTCTGGTACAAATCACCTATGTCCCGTGATCCAAAAGAATTTCCCGTCAACCTACAGCACTGGGGCTTCAAGTGCGATTGCATATTATGCCAGGAAACACGAAGTACTAGCAGCAGTGTTCTATCAAACCGAAACAGAATTTCGGCCGACCTTCGAAGATTATTTAAGACATCCAGAATGAACTTACGAGAGATTGAAGACAGAATTTCCAACCTCGCAAGCATCTATTCTCGACCAGCTTCTGAAGTCCCTCACCTTACACTTGATATGCCTTATCTATCTCTCGCTGCGATCTATGCTTCATCCCGAAAACAGGAAAAGAGTGTGGAATTTGGATTGAAGGCCCTCGAGTCACTTGGCTTCGTTATCGAAGGTGGAAATCTTCCTCATGTCTCAAATGCTCCATTGGTTGTTAAAAAATGGGGGCTGATGGATGTTGGCGTTGTTGGTTGTTGGATGATTTTGTTCTTCGCATATCGAGAACTCGCACCAACTCTCGCGTCCCAGGCCGAGGGATATGCTAGAGTCTCCTACAAAATCTGCGTTGGTGAAGATGAGACCTTTGATAAGACATACAGCAGTCTATCGGATCGGGCTGATGGCTTTCTGACGACTGCAAAGTAAGGTCATAACACGTTGCCTGCAAATTTTTAGACTTATTGCACGGCCGAAGCAGTACGCCGCTGGAGCATAAGCCAAGCTAGTTTGAAGAAGGGATTTTCTTTCGATATGTCTTTATCTATGCGGATTTGAAGAAACGATTGATAAGCGTAACTGGATTGTACTCAGAATGTCATTTCTTTGATCAAGTACATCCCACACCACCCTGTAGAAAGGCAACATGTTCAAAGCATTATTCAGAGTGTGACCATATGGAATACAGTTCAGATTTAGGTGTATATCAATTTTAAGGCGCTATGGAGTTCTGTAAGTGCGTGTGTCTGTTGTATCTTTAACTAAAGGATTACTACTCCGCCTCGCCGCTCTCTTCAGCCTCTCGCCAGGGCACTCTTTTACCCTCAATAGTCTTCACCCGAATATTCAGCCCATACAGCAGCCCTTTAAGTTTAATCCAAGTCCATACCAGAAGGATTAATTTCTTTTTTCATTTTTTTTTTCATGTGCCGATCTTTCCTCCGGTGTCAAATCCAAGCCTCAGAACCTTCTGTTCGGGGCTGAGTATAGAATTACCCCACAGTCTTGGCAATCAGGGGACCAAGCTTACTGATTACGAAGGACATGCTATGAGATCATCATCAAAAACAACCAATAATGGATTTTCGATGATTAAGCCGCGGGTGCATGGTCTGTTCTCTGATATGTAGTTCGAAGGCGACAGCAGTCTGTCAATACAGGCGAGCTTGCGAGGCGATTATGTTGTTGGGCGCTGCATATGTAGGGTTGGCCCCCACGGGTATTTACACGGGTTGTATAATCTTGGCGATGATCCATATCGTGGCGGAGTCATTCAAGATGCCCGTGTGGGGCCTGGTTTTCGAACGACACAAGCTTCCGGTGACAATAAATACCCCTCGGTTTCCTGGTCTTGAGATCGTCACATTTTCAACAATCCACCAAGCTTCTAAACTCCTTCTCCTTTTAAGACATGGGTTTTATCAACAGTGGCCGTTCTTCAGGTGATGGCTATAGTCTCATCAAAGCTGCATCCAAGTGCGTTCTTCAAGTCTCACACCCATGGTTATCACTCATACTCATATATCTTCCACTAGGGCCTATGCTGAACAGGAGGAGCAGAAGCAGAAGCAGAGGGAAAGTCTCCAACCCGCTTCCCAAAGGCTTCGACATGCTTCCCAGCAACAGTTCTATCTTGATAACAAGCGCCGAATGGGCTATAAGGATAGTAGCCAAAAAAGCGACCCTCATATCCACTCATCTTACCCTCTACATGGGTCTCGCTCAAACCACGACAGCAATGTGAACCAGTCTAAGCCACAAGCACAATCCAAATCGACCCACCAGCCGTCAATGTGCCGTACAACTACAAAGACCATGGATGACCCTCCACCATACGATCCTTCACCACAGGCACAAACCCAGTCGACTCACCAGCCGTCAATGTGCCGTACAACTACAAGGACCATGGACGACCCTCCCCCATACGACCAGAGCCACCCATACGAAATGCAGGTAGATGGTAAGGTTGGATCAGATCAAGAATATTCCAAATCAAAATAGAAGGGTATAGCTTGTATTAAGTGTGGTAGCCGTCTACGAGGGGGCTTTGGATTCGATCGGTTTACATTACATTGCAGGTTCTGCTAGATTCACTAGAGACCCCTGAGACCTTTTAAGTCGATTACAATTGAAATATTGTGAGCGGAATAAATTGAATTGATTTAATTGTATTCTACTCTATTGTCCAGGATCGGAAATAGTTATCTGGCATGGGGTGATGACATGGCTGTGTCGGTTAAGCTTCTAATATATTCCTGTGTACTTTCACGAAATAAGAACTTGAAAGAAAATCAATAGTATCAACGTACCGCAATTTTAGCCATTGTGGCTAAGATAAGCGGTCTATGGCCAGAATAATTTTCAATAATATCAGCCTTTTCCTAATCCAGAGAGTACTAAAAGGACTACCAGAAGGACTTGAGGCCATGTGAATGACTATTGTACTTTTATAAAGGAAAGAATATTTAGGAATATTTAAGAATATTTAAACAATTCCATTGTTCGTGCTGCAATATGACTGGATCGGGTACTTAGCTCGGGAAATTGTGGGAATTACTATCTTCCCCTTCCGATCTTCTCTACTTCTCTTCTCCGTCTTACCTACATTTACCATCAATTCGGTTGGCTATGCCAAGCCATCGGATTGGTAAAGATAGCCCCGTCCCCCAGAGAAGGCGAGATGGCTGCACAGAATGCCGACGCAAAAAAGTCAAAGTAAAAAATTTCTTGCTAGCCAACTGAACGTCGCTAATAAAATGTCTAGTGTGACCTGAAGAAACCTATCTGTTCGCGCTGCACGCGGTTTCCCAAAGAATGCAAATACGACATCAATATCATCAACCAGAATGTAGTTACCCACATATGGCCAGGTGAAGGGAATCGCCACAATGAGAGCGTCAGCCAAAGCCTAAACCCTATTGCTCACCAGCCTATTCTAAACTTATCACCATTTCTATCATCAAAAGAATCTCAATTTTTCATGCACATCTTCAACACCGAAACCGCCCCGCGGCTGTTCCCCGCAGCTCCACTCTTCCTGCAAAGAATCATTGCAAGTTCCCTAGAGACACCCCATCTTCTCTATGCCCTCCTCGCATCTGCCTGCAGTCACCACAGCCGACTTGTCCAAGACACAGGACCAAAGTCAAAGGTATCCTGCTTGAGGTTCACGAACTTGTCAATTTCTAGTCTGCGATCAGCTCTCAGAGAAACGAATGCAACACTGACAGCTGAGACTGTGACAACAGCCATGGCTCTGTGCACTAATGATGTGTGCAATGGGAATATGCAGACATGGCGTACTCATCTTGGTGGGGTAATGCGTCTTTTGGGTGCCTTTTTGGATACTCAAGGAACACCGCGAATTGCTGATCCTTACATTCAATGTTTGGTCAAATGGTTTACAACAATGGATGTTCTCGCCGGATTATCGGGATTGAGCACTAGTGGTGTAATGAGCTCTGATACAGGGCTACTGGATAGGTCTTTTGATCTGTTGACCCCGCATGTCGACGATATATGTGGATACTCCTTGCAGTTGGCTCCGCTGCTTGCACGGCTATCTCAATTGGTGCAACGCCAATGTAACACTGGGCCTGCAATGCAACAAGGCGTCTTAGAAGAATCCCGAAAGCTTGAGATTGAGATTTTTTCCCTTGTTGAGTGCAGTGTTTCTGGTGGGGATTCCCTTGAGCTGCAGAGTACGCATCTTGCCTTTGTACACTCCGCTCTACTACACCTCCATCGCCGAGTCCAATCACTCCCAAGAAACCACGAGTCGGTGAAAGAGGATATCAGGAAAGTCATAGCCGCAATAGAAGACATCCCACCGTTCTCTTCGGCGAATATCTTGATCCTTTGGCCCATATTCAGTGTTGGCTGTGAAACCGACGATACCAAGGAACGTGAATTTATCTACAACCGGATGGGCGACATGCAAAGTCTTGGGATGGGAAATTTTACAAGAGCACGAGAGCTTCTGAGTACATTTTGGGCATCCGAGACAACCTTGTCCTGGGATATGTATTTCGCGAATCTTGGATTAGAACTGGTTCTATTCTAAGAAGCCCTCAGCAAGCCCTCTGAGCGTACTATGTTTCCCCTAGATGTTTAGGGAAGCGCTGCAACCTGCAAAATACCCATGAATTATTACATTTCCCATTTAGTCTACCTTTGACTATTAACTCTCCAGCAGCGGTCGAAAAGGATGTCCAGGGGATTTGATAACAGCAAATCAATTGAATTACGAATGGATTGAGTGCGGTGATCAGAAATTCCCACTCGTTTACCCTGCTTTATCTCGTTTCTTTAGCGGAACATGGCATTAATACTGTTGGTGCGTGTGGCTTAAGTATTGTTAAGTTCTAAGCGGACAGGAAGCCCTATTCTACATACCCTATGGTCGTATGTACTGGAGAAAGCGAGGAAGGAAATGATAAGTAAAGCAAACGCCTGATTATTATCTACACACCCAAAGCCAGCGGCAGCTTCTCATACTCATCACGCATGAACTGTCTCAGAGTGTTCAATCCATCAACTATCACATGGCTGTCCTGGACATAGCCTAACCTCACATATCCGCGGAAGTCCACACCACCTCCGAAGCACTGGCTTCCAGGGACCAGCATAACACCGGTCATTTCCTGGAGTCGCTGGCAGAACACGACATCGTCAATTGCCCTGCCTTTCCTGTCAACAAACTTGATGAATGCAGTCGTTCCGGCTTTCGGCTTTGTCCACTTCATAGCCCAGTTGTACTCTTCGATGAATGCCTCAAGGACATCAAGATTCTGCCGAGACAGGCTAAGATTGCGCTGCAACAGGTTTTCCACGCACGGACTGGACAATGCGTGAGCTGCCACACTATCATCGATTTGGCCAACCGAGATCAGAGTGTAATGACGAGCAGAGGCACAAGCTTCGATAATCTCAGGATTCGGCGAAGCAATCCACCCCAATCGGATACCGGCCAAGCTGAAAGCTTTGGACATGGAACCCGTTGCAATGACATTCTCATATCCAAATTCAAGAATCGACGGAGGAATGTCTTGATCTGAGTCAAGAGAATGGAACAGTGGTCGATAAACCTCATCAGAATGAATCAGGATACCATGCTCGCGCGCGATGTCAACAATCCCCTGCAACTCCTCACGACGAAGAATCGCACCAGTGGGATTCTGGGGGTTGCTACAGACTTCAATCAGTACACATCCAATCCAGTAAATAAACCACCACGATCCACACATACTTCAAAATAATCATCTTCGTGTTCGGCCTAATCAAAGACTTCAACTCCTCCAAATCCATACTCCACCCATTCGCCTCATCCGACCGCCACAGACTAATCTCTGCCCCGAAAGACTCAGGAACAGAGTATAATTGCTGATAGGTTGGATACTGACAAATAACATGATCCTCCGGCCCGACATGAGTATAAAGCGCCAAGAAATTAGCCTGGATGGCACCGTTTGTGACGAGGACTCGATCAGCAGAGACAGGCCGGGTCTCAGGAGTTCCAGATTGCGAATACAAGTTCGCAATGTTGGTTCTCAGTGCCTCGGATCCCGGGATCGCGCCGTACACCTGCTTCTGCGCGTAGTCCACCAGGTCCTTTTTCGGGGACAGGGCTAGTAGGTCGTTGAGTGAGATGGATGCGCAGCATGTTTCCGCGAGGTTGTGCTTCGCACTGGTTTCGTAGAGGTCCATCCACTTCTAGATGTTAGTTCCTGTGTAACTAGGTAGATGATTGGTTTGGGGGTTGGGTTGGGATGGGGTTTGAGGGTTGCTTACTTGCTCCACGGCGAACGCGTTGACTCGGACCATTTTGGGATGGGATTGATATGACGAAGTGGAGAGTTTGAAAAATGAAAGAGGATGAAGAATTGTGACACTCAGATAACGGATTTTAAGGATATTATATACATCGCACCTTGTATTGTTGGAGTCTAGATGTGGATGATGTGATTGGCTGGATCGCATATGTGGCCCAATTAGGCAATATTGGGGCCCTGATCCACCGGACCGCAAAGTTGGTACATATTGGTAGACATCTCTGGTAATATACAGAAAATTGGTCTGCACATTTCAAGCCTGTTCCGCCTTTTTCCGCTGTCTATCTACAATTCTCCAGAAAGGGAAGAAAAGGTTCAGGAAAAAAAGGCATCTTAAAAAGACTACCGAAACGAAAGACTACCAGAAAGACCATCAAAAAGACATGACAAGGCCGCATAAGCAGCCAAATAAACTTGTTTTTGCCTCAAGTGGAATATAATGTCGTGCAAAGATTGGACAGATCGCCTCCATTGCCTAGTTTGATTCTTGGCAGTCTAACGACAGGTTTGTTTCTGGCCCGCCACGGAGGCTCATTTGCATCTTATTATAATATCATACACTAGGCTCAATAAATATCTGCACATTAACCTGACTCATGACTGTTCTCTTCCTCCTCCAGGATCGTCGAGTAGGGCAATAACTTGTGATCCTCCGTCTGCGCTTCTAGATAGTCGAATGATGGATGCTGGCATTCAGAATACAGAAGCTCCCGTTTCACACGAGGCCGCTGTGGCTCATCTGACTCTTCAATTTGTAGGAACTGTGATACGGTGCTGCCGGTGAAATTTAGGATCATTCCTATAGTAACCCCGACGAGCACTGCCCCGGTCATGAAATAGATGAATGCCTGTTAGAGCTCAGTAAATGCTACCACCAAAGAGCTACGGTATGGAGGCGTGGAATAGCAGAGATGACTGTCTCACAACATACCTCTAACTTAATGAAGATACGCAATGGAAGCAGTGTCAGGTACAAGACGACATGTCCAATGTAGATCACTGGCGATGCGAGGAAGAGAAGTGTTGACAATAAGTAGGACAGTAATTGAATTGTCAAGCCAAGAATGAGCGACAAAGGGTATTTTAGAATCGATACCCAGCCCATGGTTATTATGTAGGTATGTAGGTATGTAGCAAATCAATCTATGCATCTCGACTCTGTTATGATATCCAGTAACACGCGCCGGCCAACTGCAAAGCCCTAAGCCCTATGCTACCGTATTGGGCTTCCGGCGTCATCGGCGTGTACCTAGACAATGTGAGTACGTCAATCGAGTTTGATTACTGCCCACTGCCAATCCTGTCAATCCTGACTTTTAGCTGGTATCGGAAGTGTCTTTCTCCAGCCTGCCACTGTGACTTAGTTCGACCCTCCTCTTTTCCCAACTCCCAGCAAAAAGTTCGGCCCAAAGTCATCACGCCTTTCCCCGCCTTCGATGGGCAACAACCCTTCCAAAGGCCCGGTGGGCGACGCGCACCACACCCATGCCCACCACAGCTCTACAAGCGATCGAAAAGTCTCCCGTCGATCCTCCCTCAACACAATCGCGGTTCCGAAGGCCACCGCGGCCGATCCTTCGGCCACAAAGGAGACAGCCGCTGGGCACTCGGCAGCATACCAAGGGTCCGTGCAAGAGCGCCTACAATCCCGAAATGTCCCCGAATCTTCACCAAAGAACATAGAGAAGGCTCCGCCACAAGATGCACGTCGAGTCGAGCCCTCCCCGATCAAGGACATCCCATCTCGCGACCACTCCAACCCGGTCCAGGTCCCGGTCTCGCGCCATGTCCCGGGGCGCGATCCTGTGGCACCATCGGCCCCGCCCCTCAACTCGTACTATAGCGCATCGGCACACCTACAACATCCCCCACGCTTGCCATTGCCAATTGGTGATGCCAACACCACTCCTGGATCGCCCGTCGCCGGCCCTGAAGACTCGCATATCCAGTCGCTCCCCGCGGATCGACTCTTGGATGAACAGATGGATATGAGTACTCTAGCTTCAGGTCATACGACTATTGAAGAAGAGGAGTTTCTTGATGAGCTCCAGCCATACACCATCAGCGGCGCGGGCAAGGCCGTCCCGGTCGTTATCGAATGGACAGCGCCTGCTCAGAAGGTCTATGTTACTGGTACTTTTGTTAACTGGGAGAAGAAGTTCCGCCTGCAGAGAAGGTTGGTTATTGCATGATTGGGATATCCGAAACTCTACTAACCCTCGATAGTGAAAAAAATCCGTCCGTTATGTCCACTACTCTGAACCTTCGACCTGGCACACACCACTTGAAATTCATTGTCGATGGAACAATGCGCGCTGCGGATAACCTTCCCACAGCCGTCGACTTTACTAATCATCTGGTCAACTACATTGAAATCAGCGCAGATGATGCTCATGACAAGGACTCCACCATTCAGCCGGGAGCCCCTCCTCCACACACCGTACCGGATTCCTCTAAACAGGAACCAGGGGATAGCGAGGACCACCCTCTAGAAAAGGAAGAAATCGAGGAAGAGGTGCCACCCGGTGATTTCGGTGATGCCATTCCTCAATTCCTCGCCGATCTAGATAAGGAAGAAGATAGTCCGGCCTATGTCCAGGCTGCCAATGTCATTGGAGATACGGCTACCCCTCCCAGTCTACCTCTCTTCTTGGGTAAGTCAATTCTCAATGGCACGACTCCCATGAAAGACGATAGCAGTGTTTTGAACTACCCGAACCACACTGTCCTGAATCACCTTGCCACGAGCAGTATCAAAAACGGTGTCCTGGCTACAAGCGTGACAACCAGGTATAGAAGAAAAGTAAGTCACTGCTCTATACACTTTTCGTGAATTAACTAACCTCGTTCTGCAGTATGTAACGACTATTTTGTACAAACCGACTGGCGATATCACAGAATGAGCTATGTCCAAACATATAGGCCGTTTTCAGTTGCATGCATACATTTTTTACCGAATACTGCCTCGGCCATGCTGTGGTCTATCCGATTTGCAGAGACAAACAGATTTACAAGAAATTTCCTGACTTGTTCGACTCATCGGCCCTTGCCAGTCTGCGTTCTATCTGTCCAGGTGTTCTCGGGTTCCTCGTCCATAACGGCAACTAGATCCCACTACTAGATCACCCAGTCATTGACGACAGCCAACACACATGAATGTGCGTTGAGCAATGCATCTCAGTGAGATCACCATATATTGCATATCTTCTCTGGCGTTACTTTCGTGTTGGGT